CTTGCAAGCAAGAGATCAGCGGTTCGATTCCGCTCGGGTCCATTTTTGAACTTTTTCTCTCTCCAAAATTCAGCCACTTTTGTAAGAGGAAACACCAGTCCATGTATAGCTTCGTTTACAGCATTACTATTTTATTGGTCTCTTTCACTCTTCGGCGCTGTCATTCTAAAAGAAACTTTAGCTTGAGGGTGTGGCTGTGGCGTGTGGGGTGTGGGTCTAGATGTAATTCTTCTTGTGGTTCGTTCTCGCACCCACACCCTTCTCGTACTATCTATATCACCAATTAATGCTGATCGGCACCTCTTAATACAAAAAAACATATTAAAAAACTAATCTGGCTTAAATTTTTGTCGTAAACTATAACTAGGCAGCATGTCTTATGTATTTGAAATATTGTTATGTGTGCATTATTAGCTGAATATATCTTAATTTTTAAATAGAATAAATTTACACATTGTGAGCATCAGTGATTATTATTCATGTACCGTAAAAGAGCGCGCCTAGGTGTGCTGTTCTCAAATATTATGCATGCGGAAATCGAATATGTATTAAAAAGACCGAATGAATGGATATTAACAGATTTCATCAAAAACATAAAACTTTTATTTTATTGCGATAAATTTCGGCTTTTTTCGATATCTAAAATCAAGAGAAATATATAAAAGAGTATTAAATGATTAAGAATAAAAGTTAATACATCGTGGCTTCTTTTATACTTGAGAAAAAGACAAATAACAGTATATGTATAAGCGTAGGCAGAGAATAATGACGTGAAAAAGTCATGAAAAGATATTTTATTTGTTATGAAGGGTGGGTGTGGGGTGTGGGATGGGTGTGGGATGGGTGTGGGTGGGTAGGGTGTGGGTGGGTGTGGATGTGGGTGTGGGTATTGTTCCTTCAAACACCCACATCCGTAATATTTGGGTGTGCGCTTTATTCAACGGAGGAATGAAACAATGATGTTGTATTGTCGTCTGAGCATCTATTGGACAGCTAATAACATCATTGAGCTTTTTTTTCTTTCTGTCGCTGAGATTGACTGGCATAAATAATAGAATATGAAAAATAAAACAATGTTCGGCAAAGAAAACAGGCGAATATATATATATATATAACTGAATATCAATAAATAAGACAGATGAAAAGAATGATGGTAACCAATTTTGAGTGTTTACCTGATGATGTTCTTTTTGAAATTTTTGGTTATTTATCTCCTGTTAATATTCTTCAGTCATTTTTTTCATTGAATAAACGTTTTTCAACAATCCTTATATATCAATATTTGTGGCACATTCATATTGATGATAGTACGATGTCATTAACGATGTTCAAGGATTTTTGTCAAAATGTCTTAAAATTGGTAGGACGTCGTGTTCTCTCATTACGTATTAGATTAAATAATTTTATTGGTGGATGGTCACTTGTTTCATCATCTCTAAAAAATCAACAAATAACATTGCTCCGACATCTTCATCTGATCGACATTAAACCACACGAATTTGATAAATTATTGTATGATCGTTTAGTAAGACAATTGCACACATTATTGGTCGATCTGATAGATTCTAGTTCATTCAGCGGACAGGTAGTGGAAGGAGCATATTTGGCTAAGGTAAGAAAACAAACTTTGCGCAAGTCTATTATGGAACTGGTAGTTTTTGTTTGAGAGAAAAAACTTCTAATAATATTATCTAGAGAATGCGTAAAAACGTTTCTCCTGGTGGTAACGCTGTGATTTCGAATACCCTCATCAACAAAATTTATATCAAATTAGAGCGCATCGAAAATGGAATTTGTTACTACTAAATACTAAGGATAATGGCAAATGATCAGTGTTCAATTCAGTAACTTTCCAGAAGTGTATGATATATAGGCATAGAAAAATTCTTTTGGTGAAGTATTTCAAGCTGGATCTGATGTAAAATGATGAATATCACAAAGCCATATTTATTTTTTAAGATTTGATAAATATAATCAATAATGAATATGCTGACTATTAGAATTCTTTACAGCACGAACACGAGACCGGTACCAATATAAAAGAATTTAACATTATTAAATATTTGCTTCCATGTTTGTCAAAACGACTCAAATATATTTATTTAGTGTTTCTTCATGATAATGATTGTATTTCATGTCTGATAGATTTTTTTCTCTACTTCGTTTTTGATTATTGTTCCAATATTTCTAAGCTAAGTATCGATCATTTTATGATATTCATCTTTTTACAGCAGATCTAGTTTAAAATACGTCATCAAAGGAATTTTTCTATGCCTATATGCCATAAAATTCTGGAAATTTCTTGAATTGAATACTGATAATACACAACCATTACTATGTCGTAATGATAAATTCCATTTTCGATGCGTTCTAATATGGTATAAAGTTTGTTGTTGATCAGATCTGAAACCACAATTTTATGTACCCTATATAAGACTTGATTTTTTTATTATTATAGGTATGTTCACAATTACCTAATCTACGAACTTGTCGACTACCGTTTGATTTTTGTCCTACACAACGTTATCATTTACCAGAGTTCTCAGCACCACCACTAATGACTTTACCTAATCTTTCTAATACAGTTCATCTTCATACATTAACCACTGGTGTAAACACAATACGCTTTTTAGAGCGTTTAGTAACGTGCATACCTTCGATTCAAAATCTTTCTGTTGGTGTACAAGATTCAATAGTTTTTGACAACGATGAATTTGATTTAATTCCGTAAGTAACATACGATGATTTATAAAAGTATCAGTAAAATGAAATTTTAGATTACCTGTTGCTATTGATGGTTTCCTTCTTCCTCGTCTATCTCGTCTGAGCATGAGTTGTATGGATAAAAGAAGTTTTCATAGAGCAGTTGCTCTTTTATCATCTGTGTTTATTCAACTTACTCATCTATCACTAAAATTATTTGCATGTACATCAATCTCTGGTCCTTTGTTCATATTAGGTGACACTATTCAAAAATTATGTATCGATCGTCTCAAAACATCGGCCACCTATACTCTTAATCTATCAATCTACGTGAAGAATGACTTGGAAAGAATAATTTTCAATTCATTTTTTGAAAGCTCCATTTACTCGTCGAGAACGACTAAAGGTGTTGATCCAAAAAGGTGATAGTTGGGTGACTGGTGATGATTGTTATGATCTTGTAGTATATAGTTTGCCCTATAATGACACAAGGCTTCCAACGTGTCTATTTTCTAGGGATCTGGAAAAGTATGTAGAAAATATATATTGTTTGTATGAAAACTAGAAATCTTATCTTTTTATTTAGATCTTGTGAAATACCGATTAATGCAGTAGATTTGTTTCCACACGCCAATCAGTTAGTCATAACCGATTTTAGGAATAAGTATTGTCTTTCAGACCTTGGTAATTGTAAAAGTTCCATATCATCATTGGTTCCGTGGTCATTGTTAACAAAAATTTCAATCACTGACTGTAATGTTATTACTGCAGCTAAACTCGAACCAATATTACGAATGGCATATAATGTACATGCACTACGTATATATGAGAACAGGCGTATTTCACCCTCTGCAGTATTGCGTATTTATGACAATCTTGGAACTCGTGCCAGTGAACAAGTAAGAATTTCTATTTTAAAAGATAAATCTCATTGAAATTGATTTATCTGAAAGTCCTACTTTGATCAATATTTATCTTGCCTTCTACGTATATCTTTTTATAAAAGTTATTCAAATTTAATGTTGGAATAGAAAGATTATTAGAACATTTTCCGTTATTATATAACTAAGATATTTTTATTTTTGTTTAAATGAAGATATTTTATTTCTATTTATTAGATACAATCATTTGGTATACGCGATGGTATGTTAACATCGCGTAAAGCTAAAGATGTTTGCATGTTACTCTGCAATCGATTTCCTAATTTAAAAGAATTTTCGTTTACTATCTATGAATCATGGGATTTTAGCACTGCTAGTCCATCGTATCTTGCTGATTATAAAAATGAATCTACAAAACGTATTGTTAATCTTATTCATTTCCTTGTTGATCATTTACAACAACTTGTTTCGTTTCATATGAATTTTATCCGTTCGAGATCATGTGAAACACCTTGTTTTCCACATTTAATTCGACGACAACTACATGAATGGCTACTTAACCGACCTTATCGATTACGATGTTCTACGGAAGAAATTCAATTATGGCTTTAATACTACATCAATTGTGCTAAGACATTTTGTTGTTGTAGATTTTTTTTCTATATAGAGAAATTGTAACATATTCAATTTGGTCAATTCTATAATAAAAAAGATTGAAAATTGAACAAAATGTCCTTTTTTCTAGGCGATATGTGAAACTAATATTTTAGAACAGATCGATGTTATTCATTCATTTAAGATAATCGACATTTCAATCAATTAAGAATTTCTACGAGAAAAATAAACTTTTTATCGAAGCTATTGTTTCATTATCATTCTTTTCATTTAGTTTAAATTCATTTCTTTTTAAATATGAATCCAAGAGAAAGAGTATATTTCGTTATTTGATTTAATACAATACTTATTTTATTAAGAAACATATTGTTATGATTGCCAATAGGATCGGTGCATGATTAAATTGCATTATAGTTCATTTTGTCATATTTTTTTGCTTCTCAAATATTCATTAAACATTAAAAAATAAGCCTGTCTGATTTTATCGACATATCCATTTAAAAAAACTAAATAAAAGATATGTTAATTTTTTCGGAAAAAGAACACTATAGCTTTGTTCAAAATTTTAATGCTGTTTCTAACCAGATAAGTTTTTTCAAAAATATATGCAACGAAAAAATGGCATTACTGACACTTGTCCTTCCTACTTTTGTTAACTGAAGATAAAGAGAGAATTTTGAAATAATATTTTATTTAAAATATGTGATCAAATCCTGCTCTAATTTACTTTTATTTTTCAATATTAATCTAACAATTTTTTTTCTTACTTTAAAGGTGACGGCAAGTTTCACAGTATTTTTTTGACCCAAGAACGGGACATATGTAGGCTAGTAGAGGGAGGGTATAATAAACTCCAATTTCTAGGAAATTCAAAATTTTTCATCTAAATATATAATGAACAATACAACCTAAACAATACAACTTAAAGAGTCTTCACTCAATCTTCATCATGCCAGGAAATTCACTTTCAAATAAAACATATGCACAATTGATATTTATTTCTTTTGGGACTGGATGTGGTTGGATCAAGAAAATGCATTTTAAAATGGAAAATAATATGTATATGTATTATGTTGGGTTGGTTTAGGAAATTCATTTTCAAAAAAATAAATTTCCTGACCCGACTCAACCCAAACCAAGCTCAAATATATAGAAATGATTTCTTTATGGTTTCATACTAAAATGAATTTCCTATGGTTATGTGTTAGAGTATTGAGTTAAATTTTCATGAAAACTTTCTCGTAATCATTTTATTTGAATTTTGGTGTAAGGAATACTGAAATATTTCTGATAGATTCATTTTTTCGATCAGAGAAGAAAAGCAAGCTTCAATATTGAAAGTGCTGTCAGTGTAACACATCGATTTCAAATCACAAGGAATGTGTATGCAATGCATCGAATAAAACAAAGGCATACAATCATCAGTAGAATCATGAATCAACTATTGATACCTTGCAAGGAAACATTTATGTTTTAACAATGAATCTCTAGAGTCCTATGTAAAAAAAAAAGTTAGTGGATCCATGCCGCATATAATAGTTTATTTTGATACAAAGTTTTGAAAAAGTTGATTCTATCACTTATTCTGGTGTTTCGAAGTACTCTTGCAAACTATTCTAAATTACTCAAGTAGTTGCATATGATACTTATTAGTATTTTATTTGAATATTATACTATAGAGGCCAACGTATTGATCAACAAAAATTTTGTAACAAGTTTGTTTTTAATAAAAAAGACGCGGTTACGTGAGAAAAACTTATTTTCACTCGGCAATAAGTTAATTGTATCAAAATGACAAGTGCAAACTTCATGCATTAATAATGACTACATTCCTATCAGTTATGGGATCGGTTCGGTTCAGCTCGAAACTTTTCGGGTTCGGTTTGAGGGAAATGAGAAGCGATTCTATACATGCTATTAATGTTATATCACAAGAATGGACAAAATTAGTATTCAATAAGTTTAGTGATATCCTCCGTGCACATTTCTTCTAGTGTTTGAGTTTTTGTTTTAATATAAATTTTTTGAAAGATGTTCTCAGTTCATATTTCAAATTATTACATTAAATGTAACGTGATTAACAACATTATAATAACTTATCAACTAGAAATATCTCTAAAAACAGTTTTGAAAACTAACTTTGTATTGACTTGGTACAGAATCTATTGCTGTATCAAAATGTTCACTGTGCTCTTTAAAGAAAACCTTCTGGTTTGCATAAAACTTGGACAATTGACATTGTCTCAACTGTGGTGAGGTAAAATGACGAAGTGGATTATAATTTCTTATATGAATGTTAGTGAAATATGAGTTATGTAACAATGTGTTCTCATATTTTTTTTTATTCTTTGATCGGTATTACAGAATCGGAGAAGATATATGATGAAACTAAATATATCTAGGAACTGTGAAAACAGAGAAAATTGTATTTCTCTCAGATTTGTTTGTCAACTGTCTCTTGCTATGGATAATCGAGCAATTTGCATTTTTGAAAATACACGTGAGGCTAGTTCGTTTAGAAGCAGTTTTCATTTTCGATACTGTGACAATAAATCATTCATAGATAATATGTGACTAGAAAGAATAATCTTTCATACTGTATTCAAAGAGATCCAGAGATTTTAACATATTATACCTATTTCTATGAAATCGTAGGAGGAAAAGCATTGGAATTTCAAAGAAAACAGGATAGAGAATTCTTTCTATTGATATAAAATACTCTATGTATAGTGTCGAACTTGATGACCGCTAACTTACATAAATCAATAAAAATCTGCAAAAAAATACAAGATCTTAGTTACGCAACTGAGGATCTATTAATCATTGCATATTGTGTAAAGAGGAAAATTTGGTTTGAAAAAAATACTCATTTTCAAAGCGAAAAGTTCTGTATAGAGTCAACTCGGTTATGCCCTGCATCTATTTGGATGCAGTCATAGGCTTTTTTCCTGCCATGGTTCGCTTCTCTTGTTCTCGTTCTCTCTATGACTAGATCTATGTGTTGGAGTTTTCTTTATTATCATATATAAGATGAGTTTTTCCTTTCCTTCTGTTCTTCTTTGCCCTCAAGGTGCTCTATATATTTTCCACTTTTTTCCATACTATATATAGTTTTTTTAGTCGTTGCAAAGATTGATATATAGAGATACATACAAAAATAAATTGCAAGTGTGACAAAGATCTCACGCACTCGACTCAAATTTTTGAAATTGTTTTTAACTATCTCAAAAGTAGAGTACATATAGCTACTGCGATCTGATTCCTTCGTAATGTCAGTATGTATGGAAAAATTTCTCTCAATAAGACAGTTTACGGATAATATCTTCACGAAGTGATAGTAAATTTTGAGAGCTATCAACTAAGTTCGGTTCGGTTTAAAAAAAAACACGAACTGATCCTATCTCTGAACCCTATATCGACTGACGGCTGACACCAACTTGAGTGAGCAAACATTCGTAATCTCTGGCAATCAGAATCGAATTATTGATCATTCCATATAAGAGAAATAGGTCAAGTTGTGTGAATATCCGCTTTCGTATCCGATCAAATTGTAAAAAATAAGAAATGTAACTATAAAGTTTGTGCTCTGTCTACAACTAAGAGAAAGTATAAATTCAATTCTTAAGTAGTACTCTAATTAAAGTACCGAGAAGAAGTCAATACTGAAACATAATGATAGAAATAGTGAACATAAGTAAGTGATCCGTACTCTGAAATGCTTGTGTCGTGAATGTACTAGAGAGTATTACAGAGAGAGTAAGTATGGTATATAAATTACCGTATTGACTTATTTATTAATAAGTTAGTAGTCAGTTATTAAGGCTCACTTATTCATACTTGCGTAACTGAATACAATAATTTCAAAAATAGTTAACAGTGGCTATTTTTCCAAAAATTTTGACACAAGTTACTATAAGTCGGATTCAGGTCTCTTGAATTCTCTGTTACATTTCCAAACGTCTTTTATGAATGGTGTCTTGAGGTGAAGACACCTTGAATCTTTGCCCATTTTTTTGTCCATTGTTTATGTCGCGCTTTGTAGTCACAAAAGATGTAAATAGCATCTAATTGTGGCATCCCATGGATCTACGCTACGAGATGCTGACCTAAAGCATCGGAAGAGATGACAAAAGCTTTCTCGTCATTTATATCGTTGAGGCACTTGATACATGCTCCAGTTCGGTACAGAGTGTCACTTCGTTGACGACACTGCGCTATTGCGCTAGTGTATTTTGACAATTGTTATTTGCTTCATCAATATTACCATCGATTCAGATGATCAAATAATTCTGAATCACATGTCGTCTTGGTTGGATGGTATTTGACAAGACCGTTGTACATGTGGCAACATCCATTGTTGATTTAGAATCTTTTTATTTCAACTTTTCTCCATCCATATTGAGTACCAATTGTAGCTTGATCGGTAGTTCAGAATGTTTTTTAGTTGTTTGTTGTTTAGGCAGACATTACCTTTTCTATTAATACTGTCGATGCCTTCTTTTTTTTTCTATATTTTTCTACAACGTCAAAGGTAGTTGTTGTTTTTTTTTTCGTTGACACTCAACGATAAACTTCATCTAGTTTCAACTGAAAATAGGATTCTAAACAACAAACGAAAGAGAAAAAAAATCCGACAAAGTCATTTATTTTATGGTTATTCTTTCCAATATTCATTTGTTTTTCAAATATACAATCACTCAAGTGCCATTGCGTTGGATACTTTGTCTCACTCATTGTTTACTTTTTCTTTAATTATTTCAGAACGTCTTTTTTCCACTATATTTGTAGTGAACATCCTGATGATGCGAACAAAACAAGAAGAAAAAAAATACTAAACAGTTGTAATTCGAATTCGAATTCGAATCAGTATTCAGGACAAGATTAGCCGTTGCCATCTTTGCTATTTCGATAGAATAATGCTTACTTGAGTAAAAATTACGAATGAGAAAGAATTTATTTTTTACTTTTGAATGTTGGAGTCATATGTGAATAGGGAAGTTTCATTTACATTCGAACTCGATTGAGACAGGGACTCTAAATCCATGTTGTTTTTTTTTTCAATGAGACCAATTTCATCGTGGGGATGTGTGAGTGAGTTTAGCAGAATGAATATATTATCATTGACAATCTTGCTAGAGTGAACTTTAATTTATATTATATCGATTAGAAAGTTTTTTCTTTTCATATGCTAATTCTCGCTCTTCCTTTGAGACTGGTCCGATTCATGAACAAGTAATATTCAATTTTGTTTGTTCATACTCGAGATTTGCACAATTTTCACGTGCATCACAATATATTAAGAGATATGTTTTAATTGAAAACGATGAATATTACCAGAGCAAACTTTGACTATAAATCTCATCTATCAATGATTTCTATTTCGTATGCATGCGAAAGAGAGGCATATATTTTTGCCTACACTTCAAAAATAATAAAAAGTATCGTTTGTATTTCTTTTAACAAAAATCGACCGTGATATTGAGGCACAAATTCTTGTTTATTCAATGAAAAGTAATAAGAACAAAACACCATCATTGTAGTGTGCATACCTAATGTCTTTATGCAAATACAGAATTTTGCTCTGCGAAAAAAAAACACCATTGGCCATAATGTTGATTGAATGATTCTTTTGGATTTCTTGTGATAATACAACTATGACAAACAAGAAAGATCAACAAAAAAGTACATTAACAACAAACGAGTCAGCAAAACAAAAACACGCACAAATGAATTTTTATTATTGTTATCATAAGTTTTTTCTTCCATTCATGTCTCTTTTCTTCCTTTCTTTGGCTATGATTGCATCTCATCAAGAGCTTTTTGCTACTATCTGTGTCTGTACGTTTATCGAGTTGACATGTTTTGGAATCAATAAAAATGCATTAAAATCAATTCAATATTGTTCATTATGTAGCATTCATTTCGTCTCTTGATGGTCATTGATATAAAACCATCTATTTTATTGAAATATATATATTAACTATGATCAAGATCATGTTCAAAAGATCGTTAAAATCAAACGAGTGTTCAAGAATCTGTCCTTTAGAACTTGATATAAATTTACTTTTTTACTTTTTTGTAGCCTGTTTTGGCATAATCGGCGATTCAATGTCATGCACACTTTTTCTATTCCAATTTTTATTCAATACATTCTTTAGACTGAATCAACACCTACACATAGAATGCAATATAGTTAGTTTCTAATTCGAAATTGGCTGTACTAATCTTTCAATCCACCATAGATATAGGTGGATCTTAGATCATGTATTGTAACTGATCAATTTAAGAATGGCCTGAATCAATGTCCATCTAAAATGAGATCCTAGATTGGTCTAGGCCGATCTAAGATTGGACGCTAACATATATGTCAATCCAACGTCGAAAATAGTTCATATTCAACATATGTTATAGCAAATATAAATCCATTTACCAATAAACTTTTACAAGAACTATAAGCATCCCTATAAATGCTTATCGTTTGTTTTCTTTATTATACAGTTCATTTATCTCACATCAGAGAAACGAATATGGATATGGTTAAGATTTTAAAAAAGAATGTCGATATTTCTCTTTCTTACACACTTTGCTTCTTTCTTAATAATAGTCAAAAAAAAACAGATTGTAATACACAGAACACTGTCGAAGAACAAGAAACAAGCAAACGAAAAAAAGATTGGAGAAAAAAAAAGCACCAAATAATTTTATCTAACTTGTGACTTTTGTCGATGTAATAATCATTGATGAAACATTACCTCTCGTTTTAACATTTCTTAATGAATATGGTTGTTGTCGATTATTCTCATTTTTATTACCTGTTGTTGTTGATCTACGTTTCGAATTATTATGATGATGGTTTGATGAAGCTAAAAATGATTTTTGATAATTTAATAATGGAAACATTTGTGCATGTTGTTCTAATGCATTTTTTGCAGCAGCCATTGCAGCATCATGAATTGATTGTCCAACACCAACAGATAAACGTTGTTTACGAAAAAAACACCAACTTTATATTGAACATTATTTGATGATCCAATAGATTTTAAAACTCGATATTCAGGTAATGGTGGATTACGATCATTTGGATCACGTAATGCTAAACAACAATGTTGTAAATTTGATTTCGGATCATTTCAATGTTGTGTTGATATAAAATCTTATAAATGTGGAAATATAGTTGCACGACAAAATGCATAAATTGATTCTAAACTGTGATCAATAAATAAAGCAGCTATAAATGCTTCAAATACATCTGCTTTAGCTTTTAAAGATTTTTCAATTAATTTTGGTGTTGTTATACGAAGTTGTTCACGAACATAATCTACATATACTTGCATACCTAATTCATCATAGATCACAGTGTGTGTTGGATTAGAAACAGGACATGAACGAAGTAATGATAAATGACCTTCTTGATGTTCGAGAAAATGACGATATAAATGATCACTCACAACAAAATTCAGTACAGTATCACCTAAATTAGATACAATGTTAGATTTATTATGGATTTAAAGCAATCATATGTACATCAAATTGAAAATTTCGATTTGCTTCATATTGTAATTAGTAAGATGTGTACAAATATATAGATTGAAAGTTCAAATACTGAGGGCATATCAAAGTGCTCTATATATTTCCCCGATATTTCATCATTCTTCAACTCATATTATGTACTATGATCACATATAGAGAGAAAGTTTCTACGACCTCTCCACACAGTATTGAAGTGCCTTCATCACTACCTTTGATATATTCTAAATAGAATTTCAATAAATGATCAAAGTTATGTCTTATCAGGAAGTTATTGAGATCAACACCGTATGTATTGAACAATAGTTGTACATTCAATGGATTAAAAAAGTCAATATAGTTTAATTATAGGTTTTCACTTGTATAGGGATAATGATGACGAATATGTATCAAAACATAGAATGAAAATATCTCGAAAAAAGCCGGTCTATATAAAATTGTAGTCCAAGACAGATTCGTCTGAACACACTTCTTATTTATAACTTTACAATATCATTTCTTATGTATTTATCTATAATAGTTCATAACATTTTCTATTAATATTAAGATAGAGATACAGATGGTAACACTAGGGATGTGCAGTTTCAGTATACTGGCCACCAAATGTCGCCAAAGTAGTGTAGTTATTGTGTATTGACATCAGTGTCCTAGTGGACCTTATGTTGATGACTCAATGTTTAGTATTTACACTGATGCTACACATCTCTAGGTAACATGATTATTAAATTTTAAAATTATAAATAAATATTTTTCCAATATTGAAAATCTCATATAAAATTTGTTTTATCCTACCAAGAAATTCTAATCTTTCATTATCTTCAATAGTTAAATCATTTTGTGGTATTGGTCGTGTACAAAAAGCTTGCGCTAACATTCGAATATGTCGAAATTCTACTCCAAGATCTTGTTCAAATTTAGTTAATTGTTTTAATAAAGGTACTTGTTCAATTAAATGACGATCACTATTTGGATATTGAACTTTTAATGGATATTCTTGTAAATTATTCCATATATTCGTTAGCTGTATATCTTGATAAAAAAGAATTTTCGATAAAATTTTATCAACAATAGCCTAAAAGACAGAGCAAAAATCATTTGTTTTTTTTTCGTAAATAAACGTTTTTTTACCAATCCACCATCGAGATAAATTGCATCCATTAATGCTTCAAATGAATTTGCTTGTCCATGATTATAAATAATAAAATGTTGTAAGCAAAGATTTCGTGCTAATGATGTAAAAAAATGATTTTGAATTGATCCAACACTAAATGTTGATAAACGACCTTCATCAAATTGTGGAAATTAAAAAAATAAATGTATTGATACAAGAAATTTTAATAAAGCATCACCTAAATATATTTTAAGAAAATTTATAAACAAAAAAAAATAAATCTTTTTCTTTTTTTTTCTCACCAAGAAATTCTAATCGTTCATAATTTGCTATTTCTGATATATGTTCACATGTTTTAGCTTTTTTAGCCATTATTTTAAATAATGTTGATACACCTCGTTTAGTTATTGGTCGAAATAATTGTTTTCGATCACCATAAACTGTATTTCGTATTCGACAATTTGCCTTTAGAAAAACAAAAAATTAATAGTGACAAAAGAAAAACAAACAGAAATCTTAAGACAATCACACTAAAGTATTTTTAACATGATCTGGATTTGGACCAAGATTATTATGTAAAACATAATTTCCACTTGGATGTGTTAATGCTAATTGCATTAACGAACGATTATGAAATTGATATCCAACTCATTGATTTTCTAATTCAGTTAATGATTGATGAAAACGTAAATGATCATGTAATGATGATAATAATAATGAATGTTGAATTATATCTGATTTAAAACCAGTACGATATGCATATTCAGATGATATTTCTACAACAATTTCACGTTTTAATTGTTCAGCATGTTTAGCAACAATTTGTTTTAAACGTTGTTCTTTATCACGTAAATTTGCTTTATCTTCTTCAATTGGTGTACGATTTTTTAAAAGAAAAAATACTTTTAAATAAGATTTATATGCTTGACGATATTCTTGATTATATTGAATGGATAAAACAGCAGGACGAATACCTAAAAAAAAACAAAAATAAAAATTCTCTTCTTCAAATTTAGTTCTCAATGCTATATATTCTTTATTGATATTAAATCATAGAAAATTTATACTTTTAGCTTTACATATGAATTTATTATCTCATGAATGAAGCACTCAAATTGATAAATCTTAGTACTGCTAAGATACGGTAGTTTTACGGTATTTTTTTAATACGAATGCCATGATTCCAAAAAACTGATTTCTGAATTTTGACTGGACATTCTGCATAGATACAGGCCTTAACGAGAATAGGTTTTTTTTGAATGCTACTGTTCTTATCCTAAGATACAACTATGGGACTAGCATGTCTTTTACATCGCTCACACACGGTAAATTCTATGTTCTTGTTTAAGGATAGAAGAAAATCAAAAGATCAGGAACTTTTACAATAAACTATTATCATTAAGAGCAATATCTCAGTAGCAATAAACTAAGGACCTGAACTATTTTCCGAATATTCATAGCGCATTTGGTTCTACAAAATACACGTAGTATTGACACAAAAGTAATTTATCAGTTGGTAGAGTTTTCTCGTCAATACTGCCATTTCATCCTTACAAATCATGACAGACATATTCGCGACACCAATGGCTGAATTTCAGGTTGCTGTTTTTTCCTATTCCTTCACATTCATAATAATATATTACGATTAACAATAAGCAATATTTCGTTAATCAAAACATTTGTTAATGAATTCTCTCTTTAATAATGTCAGCAGCTCCATTGTGTTTCACATGTCAATCCTACGTGAATTGTGCTAACAGTTTTTTAATCAGATGCAGTAATAAAATGTCTCTGACAAAAAAAAGAATTTACTGTACATCATTTTTGGCTGAATTTTAATGCAATTAAAGGAAATAATAACTATTATAAAAAAAAACCGGATCGTCTTCGATGTGTTCTTAATATCTGAAATGCTTCTACTTACACAAGAAAGTCAATTGTGTCTTAGTAAAAATACTAGAATCAAAAAGTTTGAAGTCCATTGATATAAATCATCATAAAAACTTTACATTAGAAATATTTATATTATTCACTGCATTTCTCCTCCAAGTTAACTTCAAGGCAACAGTGATGGTCAGTCACCAATTCACTGTCATAGTTGTATCCGTCACCGGTATTCACCAATATTAGGAAACGACATTTATCAGTAATTAATAAGTTTAATTAAAGGTCATTTAAATCAATAAATCCGACTCCATAGTCGGTTTCGCGCTATTTCCATTACAATTACCTATAGATCTTGTATCTGCAAATCTTTGATCAAACTTTATAAAACATCGTTATTGTTTCTGATAAAAAGGAATCCAACAGACAAATTTGTCTTTATCGGGTATCGGTAACTTTTCTCTTTCTTAGCTTATATTCAACTGAATAGCGATTATTGGCACTGTTGTATCTCTATGGGAACTATGTCTTATGATTGTAAAACAATTTTATGTAATTTTTAATCTTTACCAAAATGAACAATAACTGGATAAGAACTATTTTCTCGATCAAGTTGATCAAGTCTAATAGCAGCTGGATGATGTTTTGGAAACCAAACAATTGAACCCTGTACTTTTGATACATATTTATCCCATGCATCAACAGACATTGATTTACAACGTGAATATAAATCATTAGGCATTAAAGGTTTAATATGTTTAAGAAAATATTGTATTTGTTCAGCTGGATGCAGTAATTCTTTTCCATTATCAGGTAAAATACGTGCAAAACGAGGAAAAAAATGATAACATGTACAAGTTGATATATCATTATTATTATTTAATGGTCGCCATTGTATATTATATAATTCACAAACATCAATAAGAAGATATTGTTGAAGAAGATCAAGTTCTTCGATTGTATAATGTTCTAATGGAGATTCTTCTTCTAAACCAATTGCATAATCAATATTATGATAAACAACAATACAATCATTCACCTAGATATATTATATAAATAAATGTTTTGCTTTTATTTAACAAAAAAAAATCTTTATTTACATTAGCTAATGATACATGATAAAGAACAGAAAAACCTTCGAATACATAATCATGACCATCATAAGTTATCACTGTTGGTTCTTTTAACTAAATGAATAAAATATGCATTTCGTTTTTTGACTGGGGTGTGGGTGTGGGTCAAAAGTAAAATAACAATAACACCCATACCC